GTACAGAAATTCAGAGCTTCGTGCTATTTTAGAGTCACTGATGGATCCTACTTGGGTGGCAACTGGGTTAAAAGTCGATTTTGATACACTAGTAAGTGATGTTGGGGCTTCTATTCCACATCCAATTCTCACGTAGAGTTCCTGTACAGTATATAAATTATTGAGTGATGCTTAAAGAGCAATAGTCTTGTTTACTCCAGTTTGGGATAGATGGACAGGAATCATTCAGCCTTTTTTGTTGTTGCTTTTTGCATTGTATGAGCTTAGTAACTTTCTAGCAAGAATGTATCTTGTCATTTGAACGACTCTTGCATTAGGTTTTTAAATTTCTTTAAACATTGTAATAGCTCGTCTACCTTTTATACCTGGCAAGAACCTTTTATGTCAACTCTATTACAACTCTAGGTGATCGGTAGAAAGCTTAAATGTATGAAGATCATCAAAAGAATTGAAGGAATACAAAATCGTGATACTTCTTTTGGGGGACATACCCAATGGATCATAGCGTATACATAGGTTTAATAGCAATTAGAGGTTTGTAGTAATCCTTGAATATACTAGAATTGTAAACTTTGTTGATCATAGTTTAGCTTCCTGGTAAGAGACATGCACAGGCCTCTTGCTTTTTCTGTTAGTCTTTCTACTCAAGTAGGGTTTATGCCAATTTTACTTTTTGCCTCTTTAGTTAGGTACGTGCCCCGTGTGCTCTTCGTAGCTTCTCCGGTATTGACAAATTTGACTTAGATTTTGTTTTTGCCATTCTTGCAAAAGGCGCTTTGATATTAGATCTGATTAAGGTTAACCCGTTGTTACTTCAGGTGAATGAATGCGGAGAGATTTCTGGTAGAATCAGTGAAATAATATCTGTACATGGTGAAAGTGATCAAAAGATAAGTTCCTATCCTATCATCCCAAATGATTTTTTTGAAGATATGGAGTCGCCGTGGAAAGGTCGTGTCAAGAGGATCCATTTGGAGGAAGCATATGCAGAAATAGACAAGGCTGCAGATGCTTTATCTTTGGCTGTGAGTCTCTTTTTATTTATCTTCGACAATCCTAATGATTTACAAGTTGTGCATCTGTGTGCGCTTTAATACTCTTTCATTATCTAAGATATACATTGCTGTAAAGGCAGTCAGCTTTTCAACGTCAAGTAAAAGCCTTTTTGATAAATCCAGTAATATTATCTAGGAATGTACTGACCGATGAACAATTTTGGGGTAATCGATAGACAAATAAAACAAGGTAGTAACATTTTAATAGTGGCGCGGAATTAACTGAGATATTGTTGATCTGGTTGGTTCTAAAGATAATTTATGTTGATTGATTTTGAAGCATGGGGTTTTCAGCCCTGGCCATTGATACTGTTTCTGGGGTCGCAGTGCTAGCCTTTGGTTGCTTTAATAATGTATAACCTTGGTTGCTCTAAGTATGTAACATGCCATTGGGGCTCTACCCCTTTT